GCATTTATCTCATATTTTTCCTAAAGTACCATAGTTTGACTTTTATACAGAAATAATCTATGTATGTTCTACTTTAAGAATATGTGGTCCTTTTTAGCAAATAATAATGGAAAATGGGTAAAAAACGTGGTCAAACAGGGCTACCGACACATGTTTCTGCAGTAAAAAGTCAACCCTAACACTGCCACTACTGCAAATTTGGTCTGACCCTTTCCTAGTGGGAGAGGCCCTATAAGGTATATTCCCCACTAAGCAAAGGGCCAAGGACTCATTATGCTTGTTAGAGGCTCTGGCGGTTTTCTAGGTACTGTTGCAAACCGTTGGCATTTGTCGCATTTTTTGGTGAATTGCTTGTGTCATTCAGCATGGTCGGCCAGTAGTACCCTTGTCGAACTATTTTGTGACTTAGGGATCGTGCTCCAGAATGCCTCCCACAAACATCCTCATGTATCTCTCTCATGATGTAGTCGGCTTCATTGGGCATTAGATATTTTAAAAGCGGCAACAAGTGGCCTCTTTTGTACAGATTGTCGTCTTTAAGCATATATCTGGCTGCTCGCTGTTGTAGCTACTGGGCCTCTATCTTTTCAGTAGGCAGGATCTTGTCTCTCAAATATTTGATCAAATGGCTCTTCCAGTTTTCTTCTTGTTGCCTTTGCTCGTCGATATCCATTACTTCATGAGCTWCTATGCTTGGCTCAGGTAGAATCTCGACCGGTACAGTTCTGCCTAGRTCGGTTTCATAAACTGCAGCTAGTCGAGCTAACGCATCGGTGTTGACGTTTTGAGCACGTGGAATTTGTCGAATCTCATATTTTGAGAACTGTTCGAGCTGGTTTCTTACCTGTGAAAGGTATTTCTCCATTCGCGGTTCTCTAGCCTGAAACTCATCTTTCACCTGACCTACAATCGACTGTGAATCACTAAGTATCAGTATGTTCCTAACCCCAACGTACCTGGCCAGTTTTAGTCTTGCTAGTAGAGCTTCATACTCGGCTTCATTGTTGGATGCATGAAAGCTGAATCGCAGCGCATATTCGAATCTTTCTTTATCTGGAGAGATTAGTAGGAGTCCTACCCCGCATCCTAAAAATTTTGAGAACCCATCTACGTAGAGTGTTCAGAGTTGCTCTTCCTCAACCACTTGTGGGTCGATACTATATAATTGAGGTTCTGTTGGTGTTAATTCCACTATGAAGTTTGCCACAGCTTGCCCTTTTCATGGCAGTTCTTGGCTTATAGTGAATGTCGTATTCGCTGAGCTCTACAACCCACTTTACTAGTCGCCCAGAAGTGTCTGGCTTTTGCAAGATCTGCCGTAAGGGAAAGTTGGTGAGGACAATTATTCTGTGAGCTTGGAAATACGGGCATAGTCTTCGAGCTGAAGTGACYAGTGCCAATGCCAGCTTCTCCATTTGTGGGTATCTAAGCTTTGCATCTACCATTGCTTTGCTTGTGTATTAGATTGGAGACTGTCGTCCATCTTCTTTCTTTATTAAAGCGGAACTCACTGCAGTGCTGGATACAGCTAAGTATAAGTAGAGTTCATCACCCACGATCGGCTTTGAGAGGAGTGGAGCTGCCCCCAGGTACTGTTTCAGCTCCTTAATGGCAGCCTCACACTTTTCCGTCCATTCAAATTGCCCTTTCTTCCTTAAGATTTTGAAGAATGGCAGACACTTGTCAGTTGAACGGCTAACGAATCTGTTGAGTGCTGCTATCCTTCCATTGAGTCCCTGTAGCTGCTTTAGAGTTTTAGGTGGTTCCATCTCCAGAACAGCTTTGATCTTATCTGGATTGGCTTCAATTCCCCTTTAGTGTACCAAAAATCCCAGGAATTTGCCTGAGGTCACTCTAAACGTGCATTTGGTGGGATTCAGCTTCATCTTGTACTTTCGCAAAACGTCGAATGCTTCTGCCAAATCCTCCTCGTGTCGCTTGTTATTTCGACCTTTACCAGTATGTCGTCTACGTAGACTTCCATATTTTTGCCGATTAAGGCTGCAAACATCTGATTCACCATTCGTTGGTAGGTTGCACCTRCATTCTTCAATCCGAACGACATCACGGTGTAGCAATACAAGCCTCGACTCGTGACAAAAGAGGTTATCTCTTGATCCGGTACATGTATCTTGATTTGATTATATCCAAAGTAGGCATCCATGAAACTTAATCTTTCATGCCCCGCAGTGGCATCAACCAGTTGATCTATTCGAGGCAAAGGAAAAGAATCTTTTGGACAGGCCTTATTTAGGTTCGTTAAGTCGATGCACATTCTCCATTTGCCGTTTGGCTTCTTTACCAGCACTACGTTGGATATCCATTGGGGATAATGTACTTCCCAAATGAAGTCTGCTTTCAGTAGCTCCTCCACTTGTTCAGCTACAATCTCGTTCCTTTCTTGGTTGAACGCACGACGCTTCTGTTTCACTAGCTTACAGCTCTCGTCGACGTTGAGTCGATGTACCATGACTCCTCGATCGATTCCCGACATGTCCTCCGGCGACCATGCGAACACATCGCGTTGCTTCTGAGGAAGTTTATAAGGCTTTCTTTTTACTCATTCCCCAACTTGGTTCCGATGTTGACCTGTTGATCTTCGGCTGTCAGAGGGACAGATTCTACTTCCTTAGCCGGTTCTCCCTTGTCAAGGGTGGTCGAATTAAGTCGATGACCAGGGCTCGGCCTTGCCTCACCCGAGAGGTCAGTCGCTTCACTCAAGCTCGTCACTGGTTCTCCCCTATCAAGGGTGGTCGGATTAAGTCGATGGCCAAGGCTCGGTCTTGCCTCACCCGAGTGATCGGCCGCTTCTTTCAAGCTCTTCTTTTCGAAGCACCGATGGCTCTCATCAAGATTCATGTCGCTTTCGAACCAAGTCAACGATCAGGGCTCAGTCCTACCTCGCCTGAATGGTCGGCCGCTGCACTCTACACGCCTCGGATTGAAATTTCACCTTGGATTGGGATTTCGCTTTGACGAAGCTCGCTTTACTGTATCATTCCCACAGACAACGCCAATTGTTGATGCGTGGATTTTGACCTTCCGGCTCTTCTTCTCGCACACACCAAACTCGATGATAAAGGAACCGATACCTGCAAAATCAAATCGATCTAAACCGGTGTGACCTTAGTCACACGGGCTTCGATGCTTAAGTTAACGAGGGAGAGTTGAGAAAATAATTAGCTAAGGATTAGTCACCTGCCTCTTCAGGGTAGGATCTCACTGTACATATAGCCGTGAAGATGATTCCAGAACCTCCATAACCAAACCCTAATTCGACGTTGCAGGGCTCGAGGGATCGTAGATCGTAGGCGGAAGATTCATGGGCTGGGTCGTGGGCCGAGCAGGGGTCGGGAACGAGAAGTGGTCGGGACCAAGAAGGGGTCGAGACCGAGCAGGGGTCGGGACCGAGCCCTCTCGGCCCGGTTAGTTCTCCGCTGGTCGCTTTCCTCGTTCTTTGCCCCGACGCTAGGTCGTTCTTTGGGCCGGTCCGTTACGTCACGGGTCGGTCTCCCCCAATCGATGATTTTAGGCTTCAACTCCTTGTCCCGTTTCAGGTCGTTTTTGTTCTCCATAACAAAATTCATGTTAGCTCTACAGGTCGAAGGCATTAACAATCTTTCTTAAAAGTCATAATTTTGAATGTTTATCAATTGTAACATTCTTTCTAATTAATTATCTTTTTAGAAGAAAAAACCCCAATAAATATTTATATGAATTTAAAGAGGAGAGAAATTAATTAGTTTGTCAATTTAGATAGGAAACAGAAAATTAAAAGGCATAATTTAAATGTGTGGTGCTAATGAGAGGCTTAAATCATTACCCCGACCATATATGTTGGAATAAATAATAATAATGATAATAATTGTTAGTTAAGTTTTATAGAAAAAACTATAAAAATAAAAAACTGACCAACAAGCACTCAAATTAACAAATAAAGCTCTTTCACTCTTCTAAAATAAGTTAAAAGTCAGTAATATTAAGACCATTTTCATGATCGTGATATATTTTATTAATATTTTTTAATATTTCATCGATATATATATAGATATACTATAAAGACATTGAATCTAGTAGGACATATGAAAATATCCATCGGACAACCCCACCCACTACCAAGTGGTCGAAACTTGGTTGATCATGACCTATGTCAATCAAGCTTTAGCCTGTTGGATTTGTAAGGAATTCAAACAAAGTTCCACATTAGCTAGGGAAGTGAATGATCATGGGTATACAAGAGAAGACAATTATCTCCATTGCTATGAGGCATTTTGGGTGAAACCAAAAGTAAAGTCATGTCGGCGTACGAGGAGTATCGTTGTCCTTAACGCAGCCCTTAGTGGGCCAAGCCGCGCACTTCCAGTTGACTTATGGATTTGGACTTTTCCCGTCCTTTCTTCTCATTTGAACCCGTATTAATTCTGTAGCTTACGTGTCCGGTTGGATTTAAATCCATAGCACGGGACATATATGGAAATACCACCAAGTGTGAGTCTAAGTTTGGGGAGGTAAAAGATATATGTACCTAGGTGTGGTGAGTTGTCACTTTTCAGCTTTGGTTCCACGCTTATATGGGTGGGCTGCGTATCGAGTGGATCAGATTCCATTTGAGTGTACGTATAAGCTGAGAAGTGTACACAAAAAGTAAAAAGAAAAACAAACACAAAACTGACAAAAGAGAGAGATTGAATAATGGTGAGGGTTTTAGGGGTTCCAGTTTTGGCGATGGTTTTGGTTCAAATTGCTTATTCTGTGATGAACTTAATGTACAAGTTGGCTGTGGAAGATGGGATGAATATGAGGGTTTTGGTTGCTTATCGTGCCTTCTTTGCTGCTGCTTTTATGGCTCCTCTTGCTCTACTTATTGAAAGGTTTTTTCCTTTTTTTTTTTATTTTCGTTCTCGCGATCTCTATTCACGTGCCGATACTTTTGTTTTTTCAATCCAAAAACCTATGTTTGAATTGAAATTTAAGATACCGGTGCAACTTCTCTCCCTATGAAAACATACACTAATATAGCTAAAACAAAATTTGTGACAAAGCATCTTTGAGTGATGACTAGTACTTAATTACATTCTAGTTTTAAAAATCTTATATCGAAAACATAAGTTGAATTTACTCTAACCCTATTAATAACTTTAACTTTTAAGTAACTATCATGAGTGATTAATTGGTCAAAACAAATCAAGGTAAATTAAATCAAAAGGATTTAGAAGGAATGGGTTGAAACTTTATGATGGTCACGTACCTAAGAATTAATTTCATATGTTTTCTTGGCAACTAAATGTTGTAGTAGGGTTTGACTGGCCGGTGACACCCGTGGGCCCGAGGTCTCAACCAATTTTTTTAATTTTTAAATGTTATTTATTGATTTTTTAAAATTGGAAGTATATAGTTTGAACTCCTTTTATCTCTTATAAATTTAATTTTTGCACCATATTTTCTTTTATGAATTTTAATTTATAAAAAATATTAACAAAGATATAGTAGTAAATTATTTAATTTGTAGATACTATATATTAATTTATTAATTTTTGTTCCAATTTCGTTTTTAAATTTCATATAATATTTCTCTTTATATTAGATTAATTTTTTTTTTTTAAAATTAGACACACGCTAGCTACTATTATGATTTCTGTGTGCATCCTAGGATACTATGTAATGGGTATGGGAAGGATCTAGTGGCCAAAAAAAGGTTTGGAAAGGGACTTGTACAGACTTTGAAGGTAAAAGTTCAAATTTGTTGGTGACAACTTTTGTAAGATAAAGTCTCGATAACTGAGATTCCATGGTAATAATTGAGAGGCGTGTAAGCTAGCATAAATAGAGTCTATATATAAAAGATCATTATGTAATTATATTGTTAATATAACTATATTAAAGTAGGAAAGAATAATTTTAAATTTCTACAACGTTAAGTTTCTCTCTATTAATTTTTCACATAATTAAGAGCGCGTGTGTATGATCTCATGTTAAAAATTTATATATTTTCAGGTATCTTCTTGTTCATTTTCTAATCTGTCTCGTCTCCATATATTATATATATATATATATAGCTTAGGTAAGTTTTTAAATTTTGTGGTGATTTAATATATACATTATTTGGAGAGGTTTACAAATATTGTACATTGGAGTGTAAGATTAGTATAAACCTATATAAACTTACCTAAACATTCACAAGTAAAAAGTAAAATAGAATTCGAAGGAGAGTTGTTTATTCAAATAATTTTAACTTTTGTAAACGGAAACTTCACTGTTTGTATTAGGTAAAAAGATAATTATCATAATAAAGCTTCACATAACCGATAAAATGATCTGATGCATAATTATATTAACAAAAATTGCAGGAAAAGGCTACCCAAACTATCGAGGGTGATACTTTACCAAGCATTTCTTTGTGGATTATTAGGGTAAGTTTTCAAATTTCACTTCCCCTATATATAATGGTTAATTTTTTAATTAGATTATTGAGTACTTAAATATCTGTTTGGTAACGTTTTGTTACTCGTTTCAATTATGAGAAACATAAGCATTTAGTAACGGTTCATATTTCTCATTTCTCATTTATAAGAAACATATAAAAAATTTTGTGGAAATTTTGGAAACACGAAATCAAGAACGTTTAATCGTTGTTTTTGTTTCCTTCTTTTCTATATATATATATAAAATATATTGTAATAATTAGTACTTGTGTTGTTTCACTCAAAAATACATTTTTTGTTCCTACATGTCTAATACAACATTGTATGCACAGGATAACACTTTCGCAAAATTTATACATCGAGGGTTTAGCTCTGACATCAGCAACATTTGCCGTGGTTATGACTAATCTCAATCCTGCATTCACATTGGTGTTCGCCATTTGTTTTGGGTAATCATATTCTAATTTCCAAATGTTAAGTACATATTTTTATAAAAACTAAATTTAAACACTTAAAATACCGAAACTAAAATGGAAGAAACCGAAATAAAAATTTTGGAATTTTGGGGAGGCATGAGGTAGGATGGAGAAATTAAAGGTGGAAACGAGGGCAGGAAAGGCCAAGGTTGTAGGGACAGTGGTGGGAATGGGTGGGGCCATGCTCTCCACACTCTACACAGGCATTCAAATTCCCATCTCCACCGCACATCTGCATCGCCATCAAACCCCACATCGCCACGTGGCAGCATCGCACGCCTCCTTCGTCACACACCTTTTTGGCTCCCTCTTCGCTCTCTCCAGTTCTGCATTTTATGCACTCTGGTTAATAGCTCAGGTGAGTTTACGCCTCCATTTCTCTTACTTTACTTCCTAAACCAAATGGACTTCCACTTCCACGTTTTAAAAATTTTAGGTTTAAATACTTTTTCGTCGTTTTTATTTCGATCTGTCAAGGACAACAATATCCGAGTATCTCATATCTCCATAATGGTATGATATTGTCTGTTTTTTACATAGCCCTCGCAGCTTTGTTTTTAGTTTCACTTAAAAAGCCACATATCCAAAAGGTCTCATGAGTACCCATGATCATTTTCTTCCCTAACCAATATGGATTTTGTTTGCACTCTCTTTACAAACCCAATACGATCTCTATATTTTTAAAAGGTTATTATTATTTGTAAGAATTTTTAACACAAATTTTATATAAGCTAATAGAATTCTTTTAATAGTTAACATGACTATCACTCAACTGGTCGTGGCACCTATCAAATACCAAAACTCTATAGTGGATGAAGTATCATGCTAAAACTTTAATCGAAATAAATGAGGTAAGAATGAAAATAAAGGGATCACTTTATTTTAAAGTATAGGGACAAGAATGAACATTTCAAGATTACAATAATCAAAATGGACCAAAGTCGAAAGTAAGGATCCAAAAGAATATTTAAAACTTAAATTTTAAAAATTCTTTGAATCTTCAATTTTGTATCTAACAAAAGTCTCTTAATTTAAAATTTTTTTTTCTATTGGACACAAAATAAAAAATTTATAGATTTATTAGATAATTAGAGATATAGTTTAATAAAAATAATATAATAAATTAATTGTGTCTCATGCATAAATGAAAATGAACGTACTGCATACTTTGGAAATATTAGTTTTCTTTTTCCCTCCAATTATATTATGCAAAGATCATTCTCCAGAGGGTGTCTAAATACACAAGGAAAAGTTGGTTTCTTACACTTATGCTTTAACTCAGCAATTTTAATTTCTCCAAAAAAAAGAAAAACTCAGCAATTTTATTTTTTATTTTCTATTTTTAAAAATTAAATTTATAAACTCTAGTTTTATTCGTGTATTTATTTATTTAACATATATTTTCTTAAAAACGTTTCCAAAATCTAAGCTAAATTCTATGAAAAAACTAATTTTCTAAAAGTTATTATTATTATTTTAAATTTAACTAAAAATTTAAATATATTTTTGAAAAAAACGAAAACATATTAAAAAAATTGTGACCAAACAAACATAAATTTAAAAACAAAAAATTAAAAATGAAAGGTTTATCAAATGAAGAGCTTCAATGAATTAACCTTAAATTTTTAATTTCGTTATATATATTTTTGTAATTGATAATTTATCAATTGAATTCACGAGTTACTCCCTAGTTCAATTTTGAAGAGATAGTAATTACATAATTTATTCAAATTAAAAGAGTCTGAATAATTTGTCTTTGGGAAATAACGAAGTGCCACAGAATAATTTGTCTCTTGGGAATAACGAAGTGCCACAGACATGCGTCCTTATGGTATCACCTATCATGAAGTCGTGTCGTTCAGTTCAGGAAATTACGAGTCATGATTATGTAGATCGATTAGCGTTAGCCGCACGGCATCGATTTCAAAGTTGATAATTTGAATTTTGTGATGGTAATTTGAAGGGGAAGATGAACGAGTCGTACCCTTACTATTACTCGAGCACTGCTCTGGTGACGGCAATGGGGTTTGCTCAATCGCTTATTGTTGGACTCTGCACAGAGAGAGATTGGGATCAGTGGAGGCTTGGCTTCAATATTAGGCTTCTGTCAGCTGCTTATTCGGTACTCTCAACCTTTCATAAAATTTCATTTCATTAAACTTTATTTACAAATTTTTCTTTTCATATATACATATATATATATATATATTCTCACAATAATTGTTAACACGGGAAACAATAGTAAATAAAGAAAAGCTATTTTCTAATTTTGACTTTTCTATATTTGATTACGAGAGTAGTGCTTTATATTTATACAACAAAACCCCTTTGAATCAAGATGATAAAAGTATCTATAACAGAAACAAATACTATACAGGCCAACAACTAAACGGATAGCAACAATTACTCAGTAAATTTGTTGAAGGAAGATTATGTAGATTACTTGGTAAATTTGTTGACGGAAGATCTGTAGTGGATGAGGTGGCGTTGTTGTGATTAACAAAACTCTACGCTTCATGTTTATCCTTGACATCCCCCTTCAAACGAGAGGTGAGGTCAACAAGCTCGAGTTTGGAGTGCAAAAGACAAAACTGCGAGTGAGTGAGGGGTTTCGTGAGACCGCCGGCTAGCTGATCTGCAGAAGGGACATAGCGAACCTCAAGGGACCCACGAAGTACTTGATCTCTGTTGCGTCCACGTAACCGTGTTGACAACACGTGTAAGTATACACAAATTACCAATTGTAGCACGAAATGAGGTCGAATCCACAGCGACTTTGGATTATATTCTAAACAATGTTCGTAGATACCAAAAACATAAAAACAAAAAAATATAGATGATTGTGTTGAAAGTAAAAGAAAATATCATAAACAAGGAGTAAATGATCTCAAGAGCAGACACACTTCACAATGTTGATAACAGAAAGAAGTTACAGCACAGGACAACGAAAAATGGGGGATAACAGATATGGGAAAGTGGGGGAGACTTAACATGCTTTCACTGACTTTTCAACCTATCCTCTAGGAAGACAACATTCATTAGTGTTCAACTCAACATGATTCCCTTCCGAGACACCCAAACATGGATACCCACAACTCCCGTTGCTAAGTTTCCAAGCAATATATACAAGTTCTAAGCATGATTAGAGGACCACATTCCTGAGTATCCACAAATTACTATAGAAAAGTACTAATCACAAATAGAGCAAGTTAGCAACCCGTAAGCCCTCCGGGTCAATACAGATGTTAGCATACAAAATAGAGTGGCCAGCAATGTCTGGTAAGATTTAAAAAATAAAAACAGCTCTATTTAAAAGCGAACGAAATCAGCTAGAGGTTTGGTTGCTTATCAGCTACAACATGTAAATCTCCCCCAAAATGGGATTTTGTTCATGGAGAAAGAAGAACATACAATAGGTAAAGGAAGAAGACAACTCATCTCAAGGAAATAGCAGAAAAACTGAGAAAGAAGATGATAGTTTGATGCAACAGTCGAATATCTCTCTCTGTTGTCAACTTTCTCCCCCGAAAATGGAGAAATTCCTCCTCCTTATCGTTTCAGTTCTCAAAAGCGGGTCTCCATTGGGATCTGTGTGTGGTGGCTAGGGCAAAATGTTCCTTTTATATCGTGTCCTATTTTTAGGGCACCCAGCTGAAGATTGTATGGACATGGTAAATTCTCGTGTCTGGGCTGTTACTGGGTTGTTACTGCGCAGTAATTCCATGCTCCCGCATTGCGTCGCTCCAACTTTCGTCTGATTTGCCTTGAACATGCTTCATCCACTCTTCTCTGGGCTTAGCACTCTCTTCATGCTTTGTCTTCTTTTTCCAAACCTTGTATTTAAGCTAGAAATAAGATAATTTAGCGCAATATTTAGCTAAAGCATTAAAGACCCGGGACTTTAGCTCGAAGTTCGGTTTATAAGATTTTACATGATGTTTAAGAGCTAAAACCGACACACTTTAAAATTTCTTTATATAAAATCACCCAAATAATTACTAGAATAACTCTCTTTTGAAGAATTATCACACCCCCAAACTTAAAATCTTGCTTGTTCCCAAGCAAGAGCATGCATATTACCTCTGCTCACAAAAGAAGAATATTAGAAACTTGCACTTCAAATATCCAGCCCTATGCCTCAACCTTTCACTTTGATTAGCAACGCTAGAACTTACATACTCTGCTATAGTGCTTCAGCTGAGCAAAGAAATGAAAGCAGCCTAAGTTTGTTAACACTCTGGAAAGACGCTATTTTCTGCCCACTCTAGCTTCCTTATATTTCCCAACCTCAAACTTAACTTTTCCTAGAGATTCCTTTCTCAAGCCTCTTTCAATAGCCTAAACCTTTTAACCTTTGCACTACTAAGTTGGGCTTCTTTAACCATGGGCTACTAACCCTTCCTAATCCCACAGCCTTTTTATGCTCTGGATGCAGGCTACTAGCCCGTCCTTTATTGAGGAATTTATTAATTTAATTTTATTTTTTTAGACTGAATTACAGAATTAGAAAGATTCGTGGTTATATACATATGCTAATAAAGGTATAAGAACTGAAAGTTCACTCCGTCAAACTTTAAAGGATGCATTGTCCTTAATGCAACTAAGGACATCTAGAATATAATGCTCCAGCGCACCCCAAACTTAAAGCGAGACTAATATGAAATTGAGAAGAATGGTCGCTAAGTGTATAAATACAGGAGTAAAGGGCGATTGCTAGCAACTACGGGGATCAACTAGAAGAGGTTCATGCTAGCTATACAAAGATAAAGGTTGGCTTTGGATAGATAACCATTGAAATTCCTCTCTAAGGTAAGCGCTACCTGGGGCCAGTACTACGAGAGGGATGCTAGGGCATGGGCAGGCAAACATGACCCTGGGGGTGAGCAAAAAAAGGCTAACACTCATTAAAATGCTCCAACATCAATAGGGAAAACTGCGTACTAGCAAGCTCTAGCATCGAGACTATACATACGGGGCAGGGTAAAAGGCAAATGTTGAGAACACAGGATTGCTAACAGCTTTCTTTTTATCATCACTTTTAGGGAGATTCACATACTGAACTACAAAAAGAAAAATATGCAAAGACGGATTTGAAAGACAGAAATTTAAAATGCATAAATTAAAATTGAACTAAACTAGACTAAGGAAAATAAAATGTAACAACAACTAGGGGGGTCATTTTTCAGAGCAAAAAGGAAAGGAACTTCCCTCTCCCAGGTCAAACATGTCAATGTTCTTTGCCTTCTTTCTCATCCAACGAGTCGCCCGTGGGTCGATCTTCCTCTCTGGATCTATTGTCTTCTTCCCTCTCTTTGCGGCTGGGGCATGCTCCTGTGAAATAGCTGCAACATGGGGAAATGAAAATTCTCTTTTTTACCTTTATGTTTTTCTTGGAAGAGGTGACTGAAGTTGCTCCCACTTGCTCAATTCGTACCTTGGCCAATGACTTGGGAAGGTTTTGCCTTTTTCTCTTTGCTGCATGATGCTTCCAGCTCTATTTTTCTTCTAGTCCTTGCTTTAGAACCTTTTAGAGTCGGTTTGATGTCGGGTGGCTCTTTTTTAGGTAATTTTGCTAGCTTTTCCTCTGCAGTGATGTGCATTTTATCCACCGAGGCTGTAAGACTATGTTCTTGATTGAGGGCAGAAGATACTGGAGCATCTGCCCTCTCTCCACTTGGTTGCCCCTCACTAACTTCTGCATGCTATGCTGGGGCACTTGACGGCTCAACATTTTTATACTCTTCTCCCGGTGCTAGGGTCTCTATCTCCGCGGTAGCATATTCCTTTACCATCATCTCTTTATTCCTATCACCAAAACCTTCTTGAGCTCCAACATCCCTACTTACACTATGCTCCAGCATTGCTTCTGCACTTGATTCCTCCATTAAAGCTTCATCTAAAATCTTAAACACTGAGCATTCTTCTGATTTAGTAGGAAACTTCATGGAATCATAGACTGGGAACTTCACTTCTTGATCTTGAACGCGCATTGTCAGCTCTCCTTTATGGACATGCACGAGTGCTCTTTCAGTGGCAAGGAATGGCCTCCCAAGGATGATAGAAACCTCCTTATCTACATCATAATCCAAAATAATAAAGTTAGTAGGGAAAATAAATTTATCTACCTGTACCAGAACATTTTCGATTTTCCCTTCTGAATGCGTGATTGATCGGTTTGCTAGTTGCAATGTGACTGTTGTTGGCCATGCTTCTCCCATTCCCAGCTTTTTGTAGATGGACAAGGGCATGAGATTGATATTTGCCCTCAGATCGTAGAGTGCTTAACCTATCTTCTGTCCTCCAATGGAAATAGGTATGGTAAAGCTCCCAGGATCCTTTATCTTTTCCAAAACTTTGTTTGTAATAATAGTTTGTAGGCCTTGGTCATTGCCACAGTTTCATATTCTTCCAGCTTGTATTTCTTTGTGAGAATGTCCTTAAGGAAGCGCACATAAGTCGACATTTGCTCCAATGCTTCCACCAGTGGTATGTTGACATGCAGCTGCTTCAGCACATCCAAGAACTTTCTAAATTGCACATCCTACTCTTTCTTTTGCAGCCGTTTTGGATATGGTGGTGTGGGTCGATACTAAGTTGGAGCATTTTCATGCTCTGTCTGCTTCTGTTTTTCAGTCATGTGCAGATGTGATGCTTCTGCTTTGGCTGCCCTAACTTTTACTGGGTTGACCTCTTTGATTGTATTGCTTTGCAGTTCCACTATCTGCTTGTTACTGTTAACTAACTGCCTGAGGTTTTCCTTTTTTTGACTGACATGATTATAGGTGTTCCGGCTGACTCGCATTCTTTTGTTTGTAGCCCACTTCTTTCATCTTGATTTAACTCTTTATGGATTCTTGGAACATTTGGATAAGCAGTAGGCAATGTCTTGCCACTCCGCAATGTCAGAGCATTACATTGTTTCTTCCCATCCCTTTTAGGCACCTTAATATCACTGGGCAGCACTCCATAAAGCCTACCTTCAGATCTGTTGCCAACTGACCCATCTGCATTTCCAGATTCCTCAGCGATGCTGCCTAACTTTTCACCATGGTATCATTATTTTCCATATATTGTTTCATCAGATTCTCCAAAGATGCGAATGATCCTTCAGATTGCCTGTGC